CCACGGTGAAGGAATAACATCGTGTAATAAAAATCAAACCCGCAAAATTATAATTTGCGTAATTACTGGTCGTAGGACCTCTTGTGAGTCCGCACGGGTAGGTACCACCACCCCGCCTATTTCTGCCGTGAAGCAGTAATGCGTTTCGGTTTTAAGGGTGGGGCACCCGTTGTAACTATAATGAGACCTTAGAACTTGTGTCTCAAGGTGTGTGGCGCATTTACGTTGTAGATGTCTATGGGATTATGAAAAAGGTTTGATGTCTTATTTCTATTTATCTTCATCATTGTTTATCGAGAACGGCTACTTTTGTCAATTTCAATTAAAATGTAGAATAGATAGGTCTGTTTTTCTTTTGTTATATAATTTTTTTATTGCTTATTTGTGTGGACGAACTCATGGCCCACCTGGTGTTAAGTAGTTACCGTAGCAGTTAGAAGTCTACAACGTAACTGCTGCTTTTTTTTAAAGTTTTTGCAAGTCATGACAGTGTCTGCCGGACCCGCTAATTAAAATCGCTAGTCTAAATATGTAAGGCAGTGTGCTTTCTTTCTGTGAATTAATTTAAAAAAAAAAACTTTTAATTATAGCTAAAATTATACTAATACAAAACCATCATATTATAATTTAGGTACTGTGATTTTTACTGGTAGTAGGACCTCTTGTGAGTCCGCACGGGTAGGTACCAGCACCCCGCCTATTTCTGCCGTGAAGCAGTAATACGTTTCGTTTTGAAGGGTGGGGCAGCCGTTGTAACTATACTTGAGTTTAGAACTCATATCTCAAGGTGGGTGGTATTTACGTTGTAGATGTCAATGGGCTCCGGTAACCACTTAACACCAGATAGGCTGTGAGCTTGACTAATATTTAATATTTCGATCAGACAAACTATGCATTATTTTAGGTACTTATACGCGGCTAAAAGGTCCGTCCTACCTAAACCAGTCCAAAATTGGGGTTAAAAATAAAATCCTTTTTAGCCTACCAGTCGCGCATTTGTTGCGCTAAGATGAGTCGCGATACTAACCTGTTCCGTGAAAAGGTGCAAAAAAAGTGAAGGAATTAAATTATTTAAAATTATGTATTTTACCAGCATCTTTTTATTTTTTTATTGCCTAGGTGTGTGGACGAGCTCACAGCCCACCTGGTGTTAAGTGGTTACTGGAACCCATAGACATCTACAATGTAAATGCGCCACACACCTTGAGATATAAGTTCTAAGGTCTCAGTATAGTTACAACGGCTGCCCCACCGTTCAAACCGAAACGCATTACTGCTTCACGGCAGAAATAGGCGGGGCGGTGGTACCTACCCGTGCGGACTCACAAGTGGTCCTACCACCAGTAAAAAAATATTTATTATAATGCAAACAAATGCCTTTCTATGTCACATCGGAAGGTCTAATCTTTAGTATCTAATGTACCTACTCTGCCTGTACATTTGATACTATAGATCTCGCAAACTCACGGAAACAAAATTATTTATTCCTCCCGTTCTAACGTCCTGGCTAATTGTCTTCGTTTTTTCATTTTTCATATATCTTCATCTCATTGTCAACTGTTCATATCGGTCACAGAGCATTTCGTCTATCTCACTTCATAAGTCTAAAAAGCATTATCATCTCTCCATACAGTGTGTTCGTGATAAAGACGCCTTTTATTAAGATATATGATTTTTCTTACAAATGTTGAACGAATTTACAACTTATGTGACTGAGATAAAGATTCATTTGTCATTTATATTCTGTCAAACGTTGTCTCAGTTTTTTAAGTATCTATGCACTTTTACATCTATCAGTATACATATCATGTATCGTGATTATGTGGTTCGATTCGTTCTTTTATAATCAAAATGTAAACTAAAATTACTGTTTATATGATCGATGTTTGAATACCCATTTCATTCGAAAATATAGGTATAGACAGAATTGAGGAGAAATAATCCATTTGTGGTAAGGTGTGTTGGTATACTACCCAACGACCTATTCCTGTCGCAAAGCAGTAATTATTAATGTCGGAAGTCGCCGAGACTTTTAATGGGATGACAACATTCAATCTTGTTTCCTCCTGAGCACAGAACGAATATACCGTATGGTCTAATTCTACTGTTGCCAATTTTTTTTATTGCTTAGATGGGTGGACGAGCTCACAGCCCACCTGGTGTTAAGTGGTTACTGGAGCCCATAGACATCCACAACGTAAATGCGCCACCTACCTCGAGATACAAGTTCTAAGGTCTCAAGTATAGTTACAACGACTGCCCTACCCTTCAGACCGAAACGCATTACTGCTTCACGACAGAAATAGGCAGGGTGGTGGTACCTACCCGCGCGGACTCACAAGGGGTCCTACCACCATTTCCATGGTTATTTTCAAAAATTCATTCTAAGTTAAATTGGGAAGTTTTTAAACGACAACAATTGCCATTTTATTACAGCAAACGTATTAAAATAAAATGATAAAGTAATTTAAAAAAAAGTGTTTCTAGAAAATCCATAAATAGTTGGTTTCGTCTGTGTCTATATCATTCGTGCTCTGTTCTAAGCGAGAAGTCAGCAATGGAATTTTACAAGTTCGTTTTTCAAAATTCTCCGCATCCGCGTATTCGTCTTGGCTGCTCGTGATCTCGTCTCTATACTAGTCCTTCTGTGATAATAATAAAAACTGTAATGATGTCATGACGTCACAATCGGTTTCATACAATAGGCACATAGCGGTTCGGTTTTGTTTTCGTGTTACAAATACGACTACCTATTAATACCGATTAGGTCATTGTGTGTTTAACGGGTTTCGCTAAAATTTAACGAGATTAAAAATTTTGTTGCCAGACATATTTGTTTGTCAAATATTTGACTGTTCCGAGCGTGGTTATAAAGCACGAATTAGCCTATAAATTCTCTGGTGTTGGAATTTCTGTATTCAAATTCCTTTTGGGGTTTCTGATAGGTGATTCTAAAAAAATATTATGTATATTGTTATGATAGTTACGCTTAGTATCTTATAGGGATCCTCGAGTCGGAGGATGTGTATTTAAAAATTGCACTGTGGAAGTGAGACGTAAATTGTGTCAAAAAAAATAATCGGGGTCATCGGAAAGTATTTTTTCTTGAATTCGAACCAAATTGTTTCTCCAGAGTATCCCAAATCATTATTCAAAGAGCGATTTTCTTTAGCTACTACCGGCCCGCTACGGCTCCGCTCGGGTCTTTAACAAAAATTTCAACGATACTTGACGTTGTTTTATTTAAAAAAATAAAAGAACACTTATTGCGGCATATCTATAATAGTTAGACATAATATGCTGTCGTGACACTTTTTGTAAATAATAATGTGCTCTACAAAGTCGCAGTACATTATTTTATTCTATCATCAATAGTTTTCGCAGGACACGCGATGTATAAAATATTTTAGGTAATTTTTTTTACACCTTGGGTTCCATTATTGGAGTTTTAGTAAGGATCCCTAATTTTAAATAATAAAAATAGATTATATAGCCTATGTCACTCGGGAATAGTGTAGCTTCCAAACAGTGAAAGAATTTTTCAAATCGGTTCAGTAGTTTCGGAGCCTATTCAATACAAACAAACAAACAAATCTTTCCTTTTTATAATATTAGTATATAATATAGACACACTGGCGATTATCCTTTCCTTTCTTTCGCGATCGAGCGACCGGCAACTAGGTCACTAGGACGCACGGAGTTAGAGATGCGAACAAAAAAAAAAGCATTGGAACATTTAATATTCAAACCAATTGAGCCTGCGCAATCTCACATTACAATGCAAATGTTATAATACACTCTTTCTGACTCGTAAAAGGATATGAAATACTGGAGATGAATATTTATGAGACCTCGTTCGTCCCGAGTTCATACAAATTTAGCTTGTAAAATATGAATAATGTTTAATTACTTAGCTTTAGCGTTTAGCGTTATATCTGTAAACGGAGTGACGTCATGTCTTTTTTTCTTTAACACGCTGTTTGCGATAATAGTATACTATACAAAAAAAATATATACAATAGTGTTTGTGTGTTTTTTTATTAAAATGTGAAATGCATGTTTGTGTAGGTTTAGAATTATCATTAGGTGTTTTTTTTTGTTGTTGAACTACGCTTTGTATGAGATGTATGTGTTATTTAGAGGGTTTATTAGATGAAGATTACATAGTTTGTGATATGGTATACTTTATCAAGGCCGGAAACCGTCTGATTTACATGTTATTGTAATGGTTCACATGTTTAATTTCGATTGAGAGAATAAAATATTTGCAGCTGTATCAATAGTAATCGATTGTAAGGGAAATATTAATGTAAAATCTATAACGTATTAATCAATCGACAATGAAACGTTAATTGAACCGTAATCGATTTTGTTGTGAAAATTCATATCGATTAAAATCGATAACGAGCATCACGCTAAAAACTTCGATCTCTCAAAAACAAAAAAAAAAAACGACTTAATTTGATTATTGTTTCATATGAAACGCGTTCAAAAACGTATGCCTAATTGGATTTCGTATTGATCTAATACAATTTGATGAATTTAAATGTCTCATTGATTTTATATTTATTGAATATGTGTTCCTATTTCTCGTAATTCTTAAATATTTGTTTTTGGAATGTCTGAAGGCAAAGTTCTGTGACATTAAACAACAAAAAAAAAACTAGAACTACTTAATTTCATGACCTGAAATATCATAGTTTGGAAATCTTAGTTGTATAGCATAAATAATATCGTAAAAAGATTAGATGAAAAATATTAAACGCACGAAAAACAAATAGTACGTTCATTTTGGGAATCAACACAAACGAAATAATATTGATAAATAAAATATAATTTAAGGTCAAGGTTCAATATTGTTTTGATAAGGCCAAAGGGAAGAAGTGGATTTTTCTCAATATCATTTTATTTTGTGGTGCACCCAAAAAGGCGAATGTAGCTGTTAATATAAAATATGTTGTGGAATGGTGCATGGTGATAATAGACTCGTTTTGCGACAGTCGATGCGGATGAGATCCGTCGTCTCGGCAAGCGTTTCCGGAAACTGGACTTGGACAATTCCGGGGCGCTGTCCATCGATGAGTTCATGTCTCTACCTGAGCTGCAGCAGAATCCACTTGTCCAACGCGTCATCGATATATTCGACGCAGACGGGAACGGAGAGGTAAGGAAAACGAATCTTATTACAATGTCTATAATCCTGATCACGCAGAAGCCAGTCAACGTCAACGCCCTAGACCTACGGATCCATCAGATCCAACAACCTTTGCATTAGACAGTTATTAGTAAGAGTAAGGCCCCGGTACCCGTACTCATGCAACCTAACCTAAACATCAGTCTGCTGAGTTTCTCGCCGGATCGTGATTCCGATTCGGTAGTAGATTCATTCGCGAAGCAGCTACTCTTGAGTTGCTAGGTCTCCTTTGGAGGCGCTCGGGTAGCTGTTAGCAAATCCCACCCTTCCTGGCTGAACCCTTGCTCGTCCACCTGCCCTGGTAAAACTGAAAAGCCTCCGGGTCACCAGTAATCTCTCGAACAAAAGAAAACAATTTGTATATTTTTTATGTTGTCTCTGGTTTATTTCTTGTTTCACAGTCAATAGCAGCACATATCGTGACTAGTATATCTAATAAAAAATACGATAAAAATTAGGGCAATGATATTATTTTAACAAGGTATTTCTAGTTTATTCAATCCATACAGTTGAGAAACGCCTTTGATGTTCGACGACGCCACCGCCCGTCTAGGTACTTACGTTATCAGTCGCAAATATGCAAGGGTTGTCATAAAAAAAGAAGAAAATAAATGTAATTATTAATTAACAGTCATTTATTTACAAGTCTGAGTGCGCAAACTAATAGCGATCGGGGGCCTCAATCCGTATCGTTTCACCAGTGTGCTTAGTGCCAGTTTTTTATCGTTGTCGATAGCGTTAAAGTTAACTCAAATTTGTATGCTGTTGGAACAGCGCCCATAGAGGCAAACGTAGGTAAACGTTCCAACTCCATACAAATTTGAGTTAACTTTTACGCTATCGAGAACGTTAAACTCGCCCTAAGCACACACTTTCCCGCTGTTGCTGTTACTCTTAGTGCATTCGTTTCCTAACTGTATGGGTTGTTAAAACCGGTGTTACTGGTGTTAGGGCGTATTTTGAGACCACCCGGGTTGGTATCATAATTCGAGTCGTATTTCTGCGTTCCAAATTGAATTGTGGAACATATGTTGTGTAAAACAATTGCGACTTTGGTCAATTAATGTCACGTTAATGTGTCTATGGTTTAGTTCATGTAAAAATAATAATAAAACTTTTTTTTTATTGCCTATGTGGGTGGACGACAGCCCACCTGGTCTTAAGTGGTTACTGGAGCCCATAGACATCTACAAATAAATGCGCCACCCATCTTGAGATATATAAGTTCTAAGGTCTCAAGTATAGTTACAACGGTTGCCCCACCCCTCATACCGTAACGCATTACTGCTTCGCGGCAGAAATAGGCAGGGCGGTGGTACCTACCTGCGCGGACTCACAAGAGGTTCTACCACCAGTAAAAAAAACCTATATAATGTATCGCCTCTATGCAGGCAGACATAGTGATTTGCTAACGTGTCTCACGTCCCCATCGCTGCCATCGAATCGTGAACAATTTGTGAACTCACACGAGATAAGGTTACTAAAGCGAGTTTCTGTGACGCGTTTAATAAATCGCAAGCCCGTATCGACCCGAACAAAATTACTTGTGATATAGCAGCGTTGATTTATTCACAGGACTTTATCGAATTCCTTCTTAAATTGCCCCCAGTGATGTGTGTTCTAAAATCACTGCCACAAAGTCATTCAACGTATAAAGTTATTTAGATAAAAAACCACGATAAAGTCGCGTAATTTGACAACATGTGATTGATACGCGAGTATTCGTCGCATTATGACAAAAGTGACAACATTTTTAAATAAAATACGCGTTGTAGATTCATGTTAACGATCTCCAGATCGCGAAGCTAACATTCAATTAAACTTATCGATTGTGGTATTTAGTATTGAATCGAGATTATATCCGTGCATATTTTTATGTCCGAAATTTGTATGTTTTACTGGTCGTAGGACTTCTGGTTTACTGGTGGTAGGACCTCTTTTTTACTGATGGGTAGGACTTCTTTTAACTGGTGGTAGGACCTCAGTAAACCGCACGGGTAGGTACCACCACCCTGCCTATTTCTGTGCCATTCGTTGTCGTGGCCTAAAGGATAAGACGTCCGGTGCATTCGATTCTAGTGATGCAACGGTGTTCGAATCCTGCAGGCGGATACAAGATTTTTCTAATTAAATACGTACTTGACAAATGTTCACGATTAACTTCCACGGTGAAGGAATAACATCGTGTAATAAAAATCAAACCCGCAAAATTATTATTTGCTTACTGGTGGTAGAACCTCTTGTGAGTCCGCACGGGTAGGTACCAACACCCCGCCTATTTCTGCCGTGCAGTAGTAATGTGTTTCGGTTTGAAGGGTGGGGCAGCCGTTGTAACTATACTGAGACCTTAGAGCTTATATCTCAAGATGGGTGGCGCATTTACGTTGTAGATGTCTATGGGCTCCAGTAACCACTTAACACCAGGTGGGCTGTGAGCTCGTCCACCCATCTAACCAATAAAAAAAAAGTCAATGCACACAACTATTAGGGTTACCATAGTCCGTAGACACAAATTTTATTGGGATAAAACTAGAGCCATGTTGTAGCAATAGCAGTTTTTTTAGTAAAAAATAGATCATTTGTTTCTCGAATACGGTCCTGCTGGGCGGGGTTTAATTCTGTAAATAAACTGTCGTGGTCTATTCCAGTCTTGGCCGAGATCTACTTTGTTTCGTCTTATTGTCACACACGAGAATATATATCAAAAGCTTTTCTTTTTCTCTGAGGCTATTCATAATATACAGAACCCTTATTTATAAGCGTACAACATACGAGCTGAATTTTTATTAAGCGTCCGTATGTAGTGATGATGTGTGAAATTTTTCATTGCGACTTTATTGCTTCTTAATTTTTTGTGCTTCTAATTCGTGATCAAAGGAAACGAGATTTATAATAGTCTGTTTACTGATTATCATTATTTTTGTCAACATATTTTTTGGAACGAATTTCCGTGTGGGACGATTCGGAGAGGTGCCCTAACCGGGAAAAAACGTCCGTAACGTAAGATTTTTATTATTAATGCACACAGTGTACGACTTAACTTTGTAATAACCTACAAAAAATAACATATTTTTTTATCATACATTGACCACGATCTCAGAGCGTTCGTTTGCGCAACACACTAACTCTTATGCAAACAGCCGTGAATGAAGTGTACCACAATAAGTTCGCACGTTACCGAATGACCGTGGGTTGTTGCGAAACCTCCAGTTTTATTTTCTTTATAACTCGAATAGAACTTAAAATTAATATTTTTATATTAAGGAACTTCGTTCCTATCCGGTGTCCCACGACACCACACATCTTTTTTTGTGTATTATACGATATTATTTTGTTGTCGTGCGTTTTTTACAGGTCGACTTCAAGGAGTTCATCCAGGGCGTGTCTCAGTTTAGTGTGAAAGGCGATAAACTGTCCAAATTACGATTCGCTTTCCGCATATACGACATGGACAACGATGGGTTCATATCCAACGGCGAATTGTTTCAGGTGAGATAAATGGAACGAGAAAAGCATTCACTCTGCTCGAAATTAATCAGCTTTTGTGCAAAGATTACAGTTTCACATGTGACCTTAGTTGGTGAGTCATTGACGTAAATAACTGTGAAGCTATTACGTCCTTGCTAACTATGTATGCCCACAGAAATGGTACTAATATTCTCGCCGAATATTCTGTGGGTCGCGTTGGACTTCCTACCAGTCCGGTGTACCCGGAAAAGCTCTTAGAAGCTACTGCCGATTATGTGGGGTAAAAAAAAAATTTATAACTGGAAACAAATCACGCACGATCATTTGGCCCCTTTTTAGGATTCCTTGTGTTATGGGGACAAAGGTGTAATAAACCTGTTCATCAAACAATGTTTACTCGATGTGGGGATCGAACCCACGACCCTCTGCGCACCAGTCTGAACTTCTAACTACCACAGCACCGAGTCAATCACTTATGTACATTAAATGTTTTGTAAACGTATTCAGGTACTCAAAATGATGGTAGGCAACAATCTAAAGGACACACAGCTCCAGCAGATCGTCGATAAGACGATACTTTTCGCCGACAAGGACGAGGACGGGAAAATATCATTCGAGGAGTTTTGCAATGTGGTTGGCAACACTGACATTCATAAGAAAATGGTCGTTGACGTTTAAACGTCACACGTATTATCTCTCTCGATCTAGCTAGAACACTATTCAAATTTTCCCGTAGGCTGCGCGCGGTTTCATTTTTAAAAAAAAGTGCTAAACGGATACTGTGCATAGATTCATTATTACATGCAAGATACCGGCCAGTTTGTACATATATCAATAAATATAGGTATGTATAAAAAAAAATTGTTTTGAAAATGTTATTTGTCTACTCACTTGAAACGTTGCTGTGAAATAGTGCCATTAAAAAATAAAATGTTTACTTTAAAAAAAATATATATCCTAAATAGTAATCTTCTCCAAACTCATTCGTGAAAACAAAAATATATACCACGAAATGAGGAGCTCGTATTGGTTATATAAGTCGATAAAAATATAATATGGAAATTTTAAAAGAGGCTATAGATTTCAAACTAATCGCGTTTAAAAAATATTTAACGCCCTGGTACAAGTTACAGCAAAGGGTATTCGAACCGCGCAGCCAACGTTCGCCCTATCTTTAATTCATTTAATATTTAAATTCTATTTAAATGTAAGAATTTATTGTAGTTATTAAAAACATTTAGAATTTTAATGTAGTCGAATCGAACTTAGATTTTTATATAAATATTTTCGTTTGTTGCGGTATGTTTAATCATTATTTTGTTTGTTATTTAGTATTTTATAATGGATTCCTTTTTCATATGGTCCATATCCGTAGATGTTTCATTATTTTTCACAGTGGTGATGCTTAATGTTTTCTGGGTTTTAATGACAAACAAATTAGTACCTACGAAAAAAAAAATCAACTGAATTTTATTTTTTGGGATTGTGTCATTAGAGTTTTGACCTTTGCGCCTGTATGTAATGTTGGGTTTGGTTTTTATGTTTCACGGAGTGGTGGTTACGGTTTAAATAATGGCGTAGTAACATGGATGAGTTTGATGACTTTTAACATTTTAATGTTATTTTTATTTGCAATAAAAAAAAATGCAAATCACATATTTGACTTTTCACAGTTAGTAAATTTATTGCTTTGATTTATTTTTTAAAATCTTTTGGTGGTGCATTCGACAGTAGAAAATTATAGTGTACTGTAATTAAATTCAGAAAACACTCGGCATTTACCCAGATGTCCATATCGTGTAGATTTGTATTTGTAAGTACAAGTATATTAAAATAAATTTAATTTCTCAAGCATCGACAGGGTGTAGCAAAACTGTCAAATCAGTCGGCTAATTTATTGAATAGATTCAAATTCACATAATTATTGACTTCAAAAATGTACCCAGAGAAAATTCTACCATTTTTGTCAAACTATGATGCCGTCGCTAGTTCTTCTAATAGGGATTGATTACTCTTTAACTAGAATAACCTGTAAGGCTACCAGCGAATAAGTAGGGAATATATAAAAAAATACTCTAAATAAACTGATCTAAATGAACTGATACACAGATAACACTGATTACTGGCTCCTTAGTTCATTCGAAGTATATTTTATTTGACATCGGAAGGACAGTGTGATCGCAACCTATAATGCAAAAGAATAACCAAGCCCTTAAGAAAATTTCGATTTGGAGTCTTGAGGTAGCGTTGGTACTTTAACTGCTCAATAATGAGGACATTTGGGCAACGTGCACATCGGTATGTGGATAGTCTTTTATAACGTGCCTTTGTTAAAGAAAACAGTCCAGTGATGACATACGACTTAAAAAATCTACGGTACATTTTTGCTTGCACGACAGCGGCTAGGCGATTCTGGCACTGTTGACGTCAATGAGGTGTGACCTGTGCTCGTCTGCTTAGATATTCGAAACGTTTCTCTCTTTAAAAATGGCTTAATTAGAGCACTTCATGGTAGACCTCGGCGTGCCTGTACTCTGAGAATTGTCAGTGTCCATGGGCGGCAGTGACTCTAACAAGAGGACTGTATGCTTGGTTGTATGTTGAAACAGTAAAAAACTTACTATCACTGGAGGCACAGTCGCACTTCATGTTTGGCAACTCATCATGGTAATGGCAACCCAGAATATTCTGCCTTAGAAGCGGGGATACCAATTTGAGGATTTCCTTATTTTAGGGAAAATTACGGAGATTTCAAATTAATTATCATATTAATAATATTAGCATTTCGTTTTCGTTAATTGCATAATATAGTCAATAAAACGCTAAGTATGTTGAAAGACAAGTCGTAGGAAGTTAATTATAGTAAGGTATCTCGCAAATATCAATAAAATTAAATGGCCATCTCTGATATGAACATTTTTGCTACACCCCGTATATAGTCGCAGGAAAATTTCACTTAACGTAATGTATAAAAGACATCTGAAAGTCAATAAGTAGATTGATCGAAAGACGTATGTTGTTACCGGAAGGCTATTTATGTAATGTTTTTAATGATATGAAAAATTATTATTGAAAAGAACTTGCTAACAGTAGATACTAACATTGGGGAAATGGAGCCTTCAACACTTCTGAGATATATCTACATCAATTTTAAATATAATAATAAAAATGTTATTTATAAATTCTTACTGTAATATATTTTCTGCGACTATATTTTAATATGAAGATACAAAGTTATTTATATTAACTGCGTACATAATGTTATATTAAAATCGAAACTGGGCCCTATAAGTAAATAAAACAAACATCTCATCGTTACTACTTGAACATCCGTAGCGTGGTTTTGAATTAAGTTTTATGTTCTGTATTTCATAAATTATTCTCGAATTTTGATATCATTAAAGACCAGTGCACAAAATATGAAATTTAAAACACACTTTTATATATTTTACACGGTTTAGCAAATATATTGTAGTTTATATGCTGTGTACTGTCTCGTGTAGCCTAATCGTTACCACAGCGGTCTCCTTATAATTATGTAATTTTGATTGATTGCTCATTCATAAGTTGTAAATTGAATTAATTTTAAATAAATCCAATATATTTGTAAATACATGATAACGGATCATTAAAACATTCCTAGAGTTTATTAAGATCTCACAGGATTTTATACAATCACTAGATTGCCAGCTTTAAAAAAAAAAACTGTGGGAATGTTTTCTTTGTCGGTACCTACTTCCTGTATATCCCAATTTACCTCATCGTTTTATCCTTCCTTTTCCACAGGTCCTCACGGCCCTTAGTAGTTAATTCAAGGCCTCCACAACGGTGCCAAAACTTATGGCCCAAAACCTGTGTACACTATTCAAGCCATCGCAATATTTGTCTTTAGTCATCATTGTATGTCAACAAATTGTACAAAATAATTATTTAAATATATTTTTATTTTTACGTTGAATCATTGAACGTTTTTGTCTGTAGTTAAGGGAATGTTTAAAATATATAACCGTTGTTTGTAGATTGATGAGTTGATGGTATTCAATTAATATTGATTTGAAAACTCATCCGTCTATAACTTCCGGATCGGTTGAAATTCTAACTTTAGTAAATAGTTTTTGTCGTCGTGTATTGTTAATATTAGATAAATTTTAATTCACAATGTATTTTACTGAGTTATTGGGCGGCACCTCACGACACAGTAGAATTGATTGCACGAGAATCTACATAAGTATCTAGTCACAGCCGCTGTGCGTTATACAAATGTTTTGTATATTCGAGATTGACGTGTGCCCCAATATCAATCGCAGACAAATTTTCAACTCGAAAGAAAAGTGTCTTGATCATTGTTGCCAGTTTAAGCTGAATTAAACAAATTTATTGCCTGGCGGAAAAATTGTAGTCAGACTTATTATGTTTTTATTTATTATGTATATTTTGTTTATATATGATTTATAATTATAATCCTTCACATTGCAATGATAATGTGTATTGATTGATTAATTACCAGTGAACTGTATATTTGTCGACTAGATTTCCTTATTTATTGGGACTTTTATTTTATGGCAACACTGATCTCGATTTCATTGATACTCGATGCGTTGATTGCCTTACGCGTAACGTCGTCCGCATACGTGCGTCGTTGTTAACATTTTATATTGTGAATATTTGAACAAGTATGTTTAAGTATCTTTCGCAGCTTTAACATTAAATGTTAAATTAGCAATACTATGATTCTAAAGCCTTAATAAAGAGAATAATCACGTGTTTCATTTAATTTAAAAAAAGTTAAATGATAAGTGAAGCACGTGGTAAGTTCAGAACTATGCTATTTATGATACTATACTTGTATTTGTGGTTATAACGACTAGTTGTAATGCGTATAATCTCGATGTCGTCTGCTGGTCACCATCGGTAGGTAGCGCGTCATAGTCTACTGGAATGTGGAGATAAGTTTTAATAAAAATTTCAATTTTCGATCGCAATTTTTTTGTTTTTTTACCTTAAACCCAGTAAGTATACTTCAGTAGAGGCTTTGACGATTAGTATTATTTTTACAATTTGCCACTCTCCACTGTTAAAAATGCTGATAATCTTGGGAGTACCAATGCTGTTAGTTTATATCTCCAAGTTAACAAGAGATGAACTGCTGTTTCATCTACCTGCAGTATCTATGTGGATTGCTATTCTTAACACATAGCATCCTTCATAATTACATATTTCATTATGCTGAAAACGTGCTAATTTGGCGGGGACTTATGCTTGTAATAAATATTTAAAACTTAAAAATTAGAAATGTATGTATATGCAACAGCAAAAATTATAAGACTACAGGTGTAGAAAATAAATAGCTTCTAACCAAAGTCCAGATTGCTAGTGTGCATCTAGAATAATTCTAACTGGAATACTTGCCTCATAAAAAGATGAAGTTGGCAAAAATTAGATGTGCGAATTGAATGTTTACCTTATTATAATTGTACTACAAACATTTCAACATTTGACACCAAACTTACGCTTCCTCAGTCTGTTTCTCTGGTTTTTTTTAATGAAATTTGTTGTCAAAACATACGTGGATGATAATTTGGATCATTACAATATAAATCGGACGACGTGTCAAAGTGCAGGAGAGTAATTTATTGCAGTAGGTCCCTAAAACGTCCTTGGGCCCGCGGTCTGGAACATTGGAATGTCTCTGAACCACACTAGTTGAGAATTACACTACTCAAATTCCAAACTTCATCATACTAGTTCTGCCTAGTACTGCTGTCCACCAAGAGGTTGAAATTTCACATGTATTATGATTAAGCCACCCTTCAAACTGAAATAGGTCTGTTTTGTGTTAAGCCTTCTTCGTTGTTGTTCGCTCAATAATGAGGATTGTGACCACGTATGATCCGTCCATTTGTGCTCCAGTTCAATAGATTGTTGTATATTTTATTATGCTGTCTTATTTTATGTATTACTAGCGATCCGCCCTCGCTTCGCTTCGGAAACATTAAATTTTATGATTGATTGATAGGCGAAGCCCACCATGTTTCGCGTACGACAATAACTGAGGGTGACGCCGCGGGGCGAAGCTAGTCTAAAAAAAGTAGCCTAAGTTACTCCTTATATTATCAGCTACCTATTAGTGAAAGTCTCATCAAAATCGGTCCAGCCGTTCCAGAGATTAGCCGGAACAAACAGACAGACAGACAAAAATTGTAAAAAAAATATATTTTGATGTATGTACTGTATATATATTCTTAAGCATGTAGTAAAAAGCAGTTATTTCAATACTACAGACTCTAATCTTATTTATATGTATAGATAGTAAAATAGTAAGGTTTAACTGTGCAGGCCCTAGTTGTTTTCCAATACTGAAACAAGGTGTAAAAAAACAAAAATAGCTATCTATATACACTAATTTATTAACTATGTACCTAGAAATTAAACAAATTTGGTGGCTATGGCCAGTAGTTTTGTGTAATCAGCTCCTTTAGAATGAGTTTTCTCTTTCAAAATTGTTCGGAGGATAGTTGGTATGGGTACATGTATTCTGGTTCCTAGAGGTGTTCCATTGTCATCTATTAAAACTATGTTGTTGCTGTCGAACTTTGGTACTTTGACCTTTTGTGTTTGCTTGAGACCTACAAGAATGCCTTTCTTCTTTTGCCCTTTGATAGCTACCATTACTCTGTCACCAATAAAACCGACACCTGGAAGAAATATCCATGATCTAGTTAGCTTTCAGTTGTTTGTTGTTTCTGTAGGTTGCTGGTTAGTCCACAAGGATGAAGTTAAATGTTCGGAAAATGAAACAGGTTTAAAAATTGACTGTTGTTTTTTGTTTGTTGATGTTTAAAAATTTTACATTTTATATTTGTCCTAATAGTTAATTTTGTTATTTCATTATTATTCAAAGTCTTTTAATTAACTATTTTGAGTTACTTACGTTGTTTGTTGTATACACAAATTACTTTCGGAGGTTTTCCTTCGGCCATGGCTCGCATTCCGATTTCAGAGTTATCAACAACACGAAGCCTTGTAAGTAGCCTAACTTCATTCAAGCAGGCTGTAGTGTGGAATCCGCATGTTAGCTCGACTGGATTTAATTTATTTAATATAGTTCTAAACATAATTTGGTTCAGATTTTTTGGTTTATATGAAGTTAGAATTGGTATGTAAACCAAATTTTGAGGTTGTTTAGTTTTGACATTGATTTGATAGTAGTAGCTGTTCCGTTTTTTTAACGGGAAACACGAAGGTATCACAGCTTATAGTCGAATCTTATTTATATTCTGTTTCATGAAAAACAATATGAAGTAAAATGATGAAATTAAATGAAATGAGATAGGTATGAAATGTAATAAAGTCTCAGTAAATAACCTCTTCTGTACTGACACTTTTTCATTGGGTTTTTGGAACATCCCAAGGAGCTACATCCAGCGGTTTTGTTTAATTTTTCCACATTTCGCAAAAGTCGTTTTATAGGTCTCTTTGGTTGTCAAGCGGGACGCGGGGAAAGACGTAGCACCGTTCCGAGCGCGCGATTGGTGAGTCAGTCGATTCTCCCCTCCCGCACCGCGTCCACGTTCCGTTCACTCCCGATTACACATGCCTCTACTAAAGTTGTAGGTACCCTTTGTTTATATTGAGTTTTTGTTACGAGTTGTTATTATTGTTTTGAATTTGTTTGCAATGCCAGGACCAAATACCAATATATACCATACCATATAGTCGATTCAGTCACTGAGCGTTTTATTATTTACGCCAGTGACGACAGCGACTCTTCGTTATGTCGACGATGAGGAGACAACTCCTTCCACCAGCTCAGGGGCTACCATAAATTTAATCCAAGTGGTAGCACTATTAGAAAATGATAGTGACGACGGCGACACATAATTTTTAATATTAAGTATATTTTTTTAAATAAACTTCTTAACTTTTAATTGTATTTTATTTATAACACCTAACTTCACGAATTCCTCTCTTTTCTTTAACTTTCTTCTAAGCACAAGTGCTTAAAAATAAATTATGGCAAATAAAATTTTTAATAAAATAAAATTAAATTATATGCGGACAATAAAAGGGACCATTTTTTTGGTGCAATGTGCACTATGCGCGACATTACCCCCACTACACCAAAACCTTGCCAACTTACGTGCCGCTTACTATAACGGTTGTAATAGGAAGTTGCATCAGAATTTAAACCTTATTAATCAAACACTGCAACATTGTTTGACCTGAGCATACTCTCAAAACATTACTACATACCTACTTTTAATATTTTAATAAATCTAAAGAAAATGCTCATGATACTAATGTTTATAATTTATAGGTATTTGAAGTTTTTTTTAAATAACTTATTAACAATTTAATACTGTTATGAATGTTATTGTATATCCAGGTATGTAATACGATACTTATAGCTAAAAGCATTTTCTTTGGCTTTTGAAATTTGTAAATTCATTTAAAAATTGCTTTATCATTATTAGATATTTTCATTTATCAATTTACTAATTTCCCAAAAAAAATGATTACCTTTAAATATGTGCAAAGAAATGTTTAAACCTATTTATTGAAAACTCCAATTTTATTCCAAACTAGCTGACCCGGCAGACTTCGCAGTGCCTCAATCGATAAATAAAAGACCTAAGCTTTTGTATAAATAAACTTAAACCAAACAAAAAGAATCCGTCCGACGGGGGACACATCAAAGGAAAAACAAAATTGTTATTTTTATTTAATTCCGAGCACATTCATATTTAGGTATGTACATTTTAAACCTTCACTGGACTTCCACAAATAATTCAAGACTAAAATTAGCCTATTCGGTCCAGTCGTTCTCGAGTTTTAGCGAGACTAACGGACAGCAATTCATTTTTATATATATATATGTCGGCGCAAATATGACTATTTACCTACTGATCATCAACTAATTACTCTGTGATAAGAAATTGATGTTAAACAGTCCCTTTTATTGTAATTTCAATACTTTAAAAACTTGTAAACACGCTGACGTCTACCGAGCCCTATAAATACGGCCGTACTGTCTAGCGATTATTCATTCGTGTCCGAGCCGTAGTACAGTTCGGATCTCTCTGTAACGTTGTTATGCTTCTCGTGCAATATACGCAGTTCTCGTGAAGTTTTGTTTTGGAAGCCCAAACAAGAGTCATTCGTCGAGAACTTAATGACCGTGACGTCAGCAATGGTGACGTCACACTTTTTAAGAACATTCCTTCAGCGTTTCTCCTCCGTCATATATATATAGATTAAATTTCGTGTTTATTGCAGTTTACTGTAAAAGCAGGTACTTTTAATGAAATAAATAATATTACGGAACCTTTCGAATAAAGTTTGAATGATGAAAGTCATTCTAAGAAATATGTAAAATAGGTATGTGATTTGAGTTTTTCGATTTAGTAGGTATTGACATACCATTGTAATTTTCGAACATTTGTAAATGTAATTTTTCAGTCTTTATTTATCTCCTAGCATTCTACTAATGTTTTTAGCTTTTTGAATAAAATTATTTTTAGAATAAATACGCTAAAGTTATGATCGATAGGTTATGAAAGCTTATTAAATTGGTGACTAATATAAAATGTCAAAGCAAATATTAATGTCAAGGTACAAATAAACAACAGGCACAACGGTATCATTACGACGAACTTAGAAATCGAAGACTTGCGGAATAGGTTTCAATTACACATTTTTATTATTATTATTATTTATTGAATCAAAAGAGTATTGATTACGCGTCTCTGGCTTTGTATTGATTGAAACTCGTTAGGGTTCATCTTGAAACGGCGTCAATGATTAAAGGCGGTAACCCAATAAGGTGCGGATTGCAGGCGGTTATTGGAAACAAAACAAAAGAGTATCTGGCCAGAGCCGTAATTGGGTATTTTATTTGGTTGGACTGGATATAATTTTGAAATAAACTCATAATATTCTAGTTTTTTATTTACAAAATCATTTTTAACTTAGAATTGCGATATTAAAATTTAATATACGTAATAATAAAAATAAACTTATATTAAAATTTAAATCTTCATTAACTAAATAGAATCTTTACGGAATAATGCTAACAATGTTTGCGTAATCTCCTAACTGTAATTCTTTTATTGCTTAAATGAGTGAACGTGCTTCTGGCTCATTGTATTACTGCTCACATGGTGTGAAGTGGTTCCCTCAGCGGAAATGGTTTTTTTTATATAATATGATTTTTTTTTCTAGTACCAAAGCGATATTATCAAACAAATGACAGTTTTTCGATTTGATCGCCTAAGTCGAAGTGAAGATCCAAATTCGTCTCTATCAAGGTGGCTCGATTTACGTCATTAGGGGCGCGGCTGGCACGTCCGCGGCCGCGACGACACCTCGAACCTTTTAAAGACGTTTAAGTCCTTTATCACGGGATAATGGGTTCGTTTTTACGTTCGTTTCCTGTTTCCATTGTCTTGTTGTCCAAACACGCCATCTCCTTATTTCGGAACCGTCGTATCTATGACATAGCTATTAAAAAAAAGACGTTTTTTTTGTAGGTTATTTGTTTAATAATACCAATGTAAATTATATTCGAAATAAATAAAAAATATTGAAGTATACTTAATGACGTTGACTCAAAGGGACCCTTTGAACCAATATTCTTTACTGAAACTATATAGGTACAATGTAATACAAATTATTACAGGCATTAGTCTAATATATCATGGGTAGGTATTGTCTAGTAGGCGTATACGTTTATGATTAAAAAAACACAATATTTAATTGTTGAAAAAAAAATTTTTTTTCCTTATAGTCAGATGATCATACGGCACACCTAAAGGTTAATAATGGTTACCCTCGCTTAAGAACAGTCATGAACGTTAGCAATACCAGGAGCACAAAATCGAAGGTAAAAGAAATTAGAATATCCTACACGGATACCAAAGTTTGTCTAGTTGTTCACATGATACGTATTGATACACATTTGTTAGAAGGATACATTTTTTTCTAGAACACGAAATATTAATCAGTGCAGCGTTTAACTCACTGAGTTTTTAGCCGGATCTTCTCAGTGGGTCGTGATTCTAATTGATGGTAGATTCTGCGAAGCATTGCTCTTGCTATTAACTCACTGAGTTTCTCTTCCGATCTTCTCAGTGGGTCGTGATTCCAATCGATGGTAGATTCTGCGAAGCGTTGCCCTTGCTATTAACTCACTGAGTTTCTCTTCCGATCTTCTCAGTGGGTCGTGATTCTAATTGATGGTAGATTCTGCGAAGCATTGCTCTTGCTATTAACTCACTGAGTTTTTAGCCGAATCTTCTCAGTGGATCGTGATTCCAATCGATGGTAGATTCTGCGAAGCATTGCCCTTGCTATTAACTCACTGAGTTTTTAGCCGGATCTTCTCAGTGGGTCGTGATTCTAATTGATGGTAGATTCTGCGAAGCATTGCTCTTGCTATTAACTCACTGAGTTTTTAGCCGAATCTTCTCAGTGGATCGTGATTCCAATCGATGGTAGATTCTGCGAAGCGTTGCCCTTGCTATTAACTCACTGAGTTTCTCTCCCGATCTTCTCAGTGGGTCGTGATTCTAATTGATGGTAGATTCTGCGAAGCATTGCTCTTGCTATTAACTCACTGAGTTTTTAGCCGAATCTTCTCAGTGGATCGTGATTCCAATCGATGGTAGATTCTGCGAAGCATTGCCCTTGCTATTAACTCACTGAGTTTTTAGCCGGATCTTCTCAGTGGGTCGTGATTCTAATTGATGGTAGATTCTGCGAAGCATTGCTCTTGCTATTAACTCACTGAGTTTTTAGCCGAATCTTCTCAGTGGATCGTGATTCCAATCGATGGTAGATTCTGCGAAGCGTTGCCCTTGCTATTAACTCACTGAGTTTCTCTCCCGATCTTCTCAGTGGGTCGTGATTCTAATTGATGGTAGATTCTGCGAAGCATTGCTCTTGCTATTAACTCACTGAGTTTTTAGCCGAATCTTCTCAGTGGATCGTGATTCTAATCGATGGTAGATTCTGCGAAGCGTTGCCCTTGCTATTAACTCACTGAGTTTCTCTCCCGATCTTCTCAGTGGGTCGTGATTCTAATTGATGGTAGATTCTGCGAAGCATTGCTCTTGCT